GCAAATCACCAAGAGTCCCGATGCCTCTATGTGGGGAGCAATGGGGTGTCCAATGGGTCTGAAAACTGACAATCTCCCAAATAGTCATAGGTATTCACTGGAAAATGTGGCAGGCTAAATGGAAGATAGCAGCTGAAACTGGAAGGGGGTCTGCCCACTGCGAGTGAGTACAATGGCTGCACTGACGTCTAGGGCAGTGGTTCCCAACCTTTTTTTGGCCTGCTCCACCTAAGCATCTATAAAATCCTGATGCCCCTCTCCCCGTGACATATAATTCTTATTATTCAAAAAGTGAACTCCTATTCATGTGGAGGAAGCCTAAAAGGCCATTAACTTGGTGTAAACAAGTTTCCAAAGAACATGGCATCCATGAAAGAGAAAAATAAAAGAATGAAAGGTCAGTTGAAGTACTGAGGAAGAAATCACTAAGAAATTGTTAAAAAAATAATATGAAGTGGTATGAAAAAATAGCAAATAAAGTTTCAAAACATATAATAGAGAACTGAAATGCATATATATGTCACAATATATATTTATACTAGAGGCCTGGTGCACGAAATTCATGCACGTGTAGGGTCCCTAGGCCTGGCCAGCGAGCAGGGCTGATTGGGGCCTTCCTTCGTTTTGCACCACCCCCTGGTGGTCAGCGCACGTCATAGCGAGCGATTGGTCTCCCAGTGGAATGCCCACGGGGACAATTTGCATATTGGGCTTTTATATATGTAGATACTGTATATGAGGCCGCTAGAACCATAAGAAATGTAAAATATATACTGTTAATAACTCACTCTCGAATTGCTCCCCTTAAAAATCAAATTGCCCCCCTGTGGGGCGTGTGCCCCACGTTGGGAACCACTGGTCTAGAGGATGAAGCCCTCTAGTGTAGGCCCCAGGAACTGTCTAAATTTAACAGCCAGAGATCTCTTCTAGGACAAGTCCTTGCAAAATTGAATAAGACCAGGGAAACAGACAAAGGAAAGAGAAGTTACAGCAAAAACGAAGGGGAAAGAGAGCCTGGAAATCTCAGAAAGCAAGCTACTATATTTCTGAACACTTCACTAAAATAACAAAAGAGGGAGCTCAGTGAAGTTGGAGTCTTCTTACCTGCCACCTTTAAGGTAATGTCACTCAGGTGGTCCCCAGGCTGCAGGTGACTGTATTCTTGGATGAAGTGAGTGAGCGAGATGTCTACATGGAACTTGTGTGGGTATGGGTTTTCTCCACTGACCTTTAGTTGGTGGACTGCTTGGCTTCGGATCTTGTAGTATTGCTATTTAAATACAAAAACAAAAATGAAAGTGAAAATTCAAGTGAGAAGTTGAACCTGATCAGATCAGTGGCCCATCTGACAGAGAGTACTGTATTCTGCCTTGGAGTGGCCCTAATACACTGAGGTTTCTATACCTGCCTCCAATACACCCCAATACCCTTGAAATCACAGGAGTGGATATAGAGTGAGATTTGCACTTAAAAGCAAGATTCGACAAATAAAAAAATTTGAGTTCTGCCTAAAATAATAAGCATAATTGGTACAGGTGGCCTTGGTTACTACATTTGTGGTCACATAAGCATTAACTTCATTCCCATTTACTCACATTAGACTTTTCCCTAAGGCAGGCCCCTGGGGCCAGGAGGATGTTAAAAAAGGAATATTCTAAACCTAGCCAGTTTGGCTAAGTGGATAGAGTGTCAGCCTGCAAACTGAAGGTTCCAGGTTTGATTCCGGTCAAGGGCACATGCCCGGGTTGTGGGCTCAATCCCCGATAGGGGGAGTGCAGGAGGCAGCCGATCAACGCTTCTCTCTCATCATTGATGTTTATATCTCTCTCTCCCTCTCCCTTCCTCTCTATAATAAATTAAAAAATATATATATATATATGAATGAATATTCTACAGCAGGGGTCAGCAAACGTTTTCTGAAACAACTACTCAACCCTACTGTTGTAGTCTGAAAGCAACCTCAGACATTTGAAAAAAAAAAAGTCACGGCTGTGTTCTAATGTTACTTACAATACCAGGGAGGAGGGAGGAGATGGGGATAAGGGGGATGGATCTGGCCTGCAGACCACTGTTTACCATCTCTGGTCTAAAGTATACACTTTCCATGGACCTTAGACTGGAGACACTTTCTCTGGGGCTGCATTACTGCCCAGCTAGTTCCAAGGAAGATTAATCAGTCACTTTGAAGTACTAGATGCTCCTAAATGCCTGTTGACAGCTGCTTAGAAAAATGCTCAGGGCCTATGCTTTTGACCAGATGGAGTGGTAGGCTCCCTCTCATCCTTCTGCCGTGACTTAGGGCCCAGTGGCTGTTCCAGTTCCTATTTTAACTTCTTAGTCATTGGTTCCCAGGGATTTGCCAGAAGCTCCATTGAAAGTTTCCAAATGCCCAGCCAGGGTGGTGACTCACGTTTGGGTCCAGGCTCTCCTCCTCGGGACCCACATCGTTGTCAGTGGTGTGGTTGGTGGCAGCAGCATTGGCCTGGCTTAGTTGTTTCTCACTGAGCTCCTTCTGCTTGGCTTCCTTCTCCGCTACTTTCTTCTCAGCTTTCAGGCGTCTCTTTAGTTCACTGTTGGGAAGATGAAAATGTTCAATATGATAGTTGTCTGAAGAGTCCTCTACTATGTTCTGCCCCATAGCCACTTGTCAAAAACATGAACAGCATGGCAGAAATGTTCTTGCTTAGTTCTCCACCCCCAGTTCTAGTCTCTTGGTCACTAAACTCTGTACATAGAGAGACAAAGGGAAAAGTAAATTTAGAATAAAGCTGGGAAAGTTCTTTCTCAGTATATGCTTTCCAGTCTAAGGTCCATGGCCAAGAAAAATCCTACATATTAGTTTATGTTTAAAATAGGAAAAAAGGTTTTCCAGAAAAATCAGCAATATAGTCTTTTCTCAAGCTAATTACGTCAGGGAGCCTTCTGAAGCCAGGGACTGAATCTTAGTTGTCTGGTATCTATCCTTTGTAGAGTATGAAGTTCCTTGAGTACCAGACCTGATATGAGAAGGCAATATCTCTAGCTCTGTCTGCCACCCTTCCCTACCCCTCCAAGGAGTGGGTTAGTCTGGGGCAGGGAAGGGTGGCTCTTCAGAGTTCAAGGAGACATTCCACAGATAATCTCTCCCTCTGCATTGATCAACGCACTGACAAGGGCCTTCAGCATTAGTCTCACTCTGCTCACTGGAGCCTGGCTCAGACAACAAACTGGATAGAACAGTGTACAAAGCGGCATAGCATAGGGGGTAACTTATCATCTTTGGAGCCAGACTCCCCGGGACTAAATTCTGACACATCTACCTATCAATTATGTGACCTTGGACAAGTGACTTTACTCCTCTCGATCTTGTGAAATGGATAATAGACACCCTCCTCCCCAAATGTTATTGTGAGGATTGAGATAATGTATGCAAAGAGATGACCCTGTCCCTAAAGCATATGGTAAACATGCAAATGTGAGCTATTACAGGTATCCCTCACTATCTTAACCCTTTATTCACTGCACCCAGGATAGAAACCTTACATGAACCTTTGGTCAACTCCCTTCTCACTCTTGGTACTTGTCATATGAGACTCAAAAAGTAAAGCAATTTACATAACTTGGTATCCCTTATGATCTGAAAACTTTGCTATGTGAACCCAGAAACCAAATAGATTTGGGTAGAAAGGGATACCCACATTATTTAAATAGAATTGATCATTCTTGCCCTGGCCAGTGTAGCTCAGTTGGTTAGGCGTCATCCTGTGCACCAGGAGATCGCTAGTTTGATTCCTGGTCAGAGCACATGCCCGATTTGGGGGCTGGATCCCCAGTGGGGGTATGCAGGAGGCAGCTGATTGATGCTCTGCTCTCACCTCTCACCTCTCTCTCTGTCTCTGTCTCTCTCTCTTTCTCCCTCTCTCTCCCTCTATTGTGCTGTAATTCAGCCAGGGTGCATCTCATCCTAGGTGCACCAGGAGATCGCTAGTTTGATTCCTGGTCAGAGAACATGCCTGATTTGGGGGCTGGATCCCCAGTGGGGATATGCAGGAGGCAGCAGATTGATGCTCTGCTCTTCTATCTATCTATCTATCTATCTATCTATCTATCTATCTATCTCCCTCCCTCCCTCTATTGTGCTGTAATTCAGCTAGGGGGCATCTCGTCCTATCTAGTTCTTCCTAGCATTAACATAATAAACCCATTCAACAGGGTGTTGCTCTCTCACTCTTTTGTAAAATATACTTTTATTGATTTCAGAGAAGAAGGGAGAGATAGAAAAACATCAATGATGAGAAAAAAATCAGTGATCAGCTGCCTCCTGTACGCCCCGTACTGGGGATCAAGCCTGCAACTCCAGCATATGCCCTTGATCAGAAAGGAACCCGGGACCCTTCAGTCCGCAGGCTGACACTCTATTCACTGAGCCAAACTGGTTAGGGCTAGGTGTTGCTCTTTAAATCAAATCAATCCTAAGGATAATCCAAAAAGGTCATGTGGCTAGAAATTAGACTGGAAACCAAATTAATCTCAAGAGCAAACAAATTCTAGATAGACAGGAAAGGGAAAACAACCTGAACTAGAAATTTTTTATTCATACAAGGTTTCTTTTCAGCAGTTCTAGAATAAGATCTGCAAGTCTTTTCCAGAATTTTAAGGACAGAGCATATGAATTTATTAAAGAGAACATGAGAAAAGTTTTGGTAGCAAGGCTTTTTGTTTCCTTAGCAACAAGTCCAAAGACTTAGCCAGAGGCTTAACAGAAAAGGACCCAAGTAAGGGGAGGACTTTTGCTCCCAGAACAATAAAGAAGGTAATGAGCACCAACCTTCTTTTATTACAAAGTGGCTGGTCCTTGTGAAGCGCTGTGAAAGGAGCAAGTGGACCCAGTCGCGGCTGCCTCTGCCCCCACTGTGCCCAGGAGGTTTGGCGCAGGGACCCCCTAACAAGCCTTATAGCAGCTTGCGTCAACATGGCAGAACACCCTGGAACTAATGATTACCACCACCTAACAGGAAACACAGAGATGTGGTGTCAGATGGGACAGACAGTATACATAAACCCAACCAGCACTCCTACTCTACGGGGTGGGGGAGGATGCAAAACCTTTCGGTGTCCCATTTTACTTAAGACCCTCTTAAGTAAAGCAGCCCCTAACACTCACTCTTCTGCAACTGGAACTGACAATGTTCTCAGTCCAGGCTATGGTAAAAAGATGCACATCTGGGGTCAAAAGTCAACAGCAATAACTTACAGGTAGAAATGATGACAATATTCTAGAAAATCAGAGACAGGACCTAAAGCAGTGCTTCTGAAGCTCCTATTTCTTGGCACAGAAAAGCATATAAAATGTCACTGTCAACTACAACTCTAGATGAAGGTAAAAGCAAGCCACACAAAAGCACCTGAGTCAAAGATAAGACTTGTTTGGAGCTCTAGGAATAAGGGAGAAAGGAGAATTTCAGGAAGGGTCTTAAAACTGTATTATGTTTATACATCAACACTGGAAGGCAACAGAAATACAGGGATCATGTTCTTTTATTGCATTCAAATAAATTTGGCCTTTCATCTGGAAATGAGTCACCTGTCAGGCAGGCCATGTGTTTTTGGGGGTTTTTTTTTTGGTGTGGGCTTTTTTGGTATGGGTTTTTGTTTTTGTTTTTGCGGGCATCTTGCTTTTATTTCTGAACAATCTCAATGCTTCTCATTACATCTCATAATGTTCGTGGGAAGGGAGAGAACATGGACATCCTGTCTCCCACTGCAGAGCTGATTAGTGGTGAGGATATCCACTGCGAAAGACATGAAGCAGCAAGGCAAGAAGATCCCTTATGCCTGGGGATGGGCATGGCCAACAGCCCTCTGGCCTGTGCCTCTCCTCTTGGGGAGGTCTCCATGGAATGCCCATGACTCCGGACACAGGCCATCTGTTTTTAAACTTGGAGAAATGACTGGCATCAAATGGTGCTCACTAAAGATTCAGACCAAGGAAATTCCAAGAACAATAGTAGAAAATATTAATAATATTATTTTAGCTCATGGTCACTAGAGGTATACCATCAACGATAGATTCTTTTAGACAACATGAGGTATGGTGCAGTCACTACAGAGAGTTTGATTTTAGATGTCTGCTCCAGAGCTTTGGATCAGTGGTAGACCATACTTTAGTTATGCACACTTCAGCAATGTATGTAATCACCCAGAGTCTCAGTCCATTAAAATGAAAAATGGACACTTGCAAGGTTATTATTGAGATCACATAAAAAGTTTGTACATTCCCAGCACAGTGCCTGACACAGAAAAGCTGCTTTAAAAGGTGGTAGCTATGCTTAATTTAAGAAAATTCAGTAGAAAGTGGCCAGTTTCCTATATTTATCTTAAAATTGTACTTTCAACTGGAGACCTTGCTTATCAGTCATCTGTGATTTACACCCTAATATTCAATACTAATGTAACAGATCAAAGTCCAGTCAATCTTCCCAAAGGCGGAAGTCCAAGACCAGGTTCCAAACACAGAGATCCATCAGACACTCAGAACAAAATATTAGGGTCTATCAAACCATGACTTTAGGTATTTTAATTTTTCAATAATACTTAGAGAATAAACCCAGAGACACAAAGGAAACATTTTTACTAATTGAGAGCAATTCCAGCAGGGCTCAGCAAGAGAATTGAGCCCTAATGTACTAAAAACAGCCATCCTATATAATAAAACCCTAATATGCAAATTAACCGAATGGCAGAACGACCGGTTGCTGACACTCGCACTGACCACCAGGGGGGCAGATGCTCGATGCAGGAGCTGCCCCCCTGGTGGTCAGTGGGCTCCCATAGGGGGAGCGCCGCTCAGCCAGAAGCTGGGCTCACGGCTGGGGAGTGCAGCAGTGGTGGCAGGAGCCTCTCCTGCCTCCGCTGCAGGTGGGTGGTAAGGAGCAAGGGGTCCTGGACTGTGAGAGTCCCGGACTGGACTGGGAGAGGGACGTCTGCCTACCGGCTTAAACCTGATCCCTGGGGGAATTGGGCCTAAGCCGGCAGGCAGACATCCCCCAAGGGGTCACAGACTGCAAGAGGGTGCAGGCCAGGCTGAGGGACACCCTCCTCCCCCTTCCCCAACAGTGTACAAATTTCGTGCACCGGGCCTCTAGTTACATATAATGAACTACTGTCCTATGCTTCTGGAATGGTTCTATTTATGTACCATTCTTAGGAGTATTGAGAAAAGTCACTCAAGCCTTAGCCGGTTTGGCTCAGTGGATAGAGCGTCGACCTGTGGACTGAAGGGTCCCAGGTTCAATTTTGGTCAAGGGCACATGCCCGGGTTGTGGGCTCTATCCCCAGTGGAGAGCATGCAGGAGGCAGCCAATCAATGATTCTCCCTCATCATTGATGTTTCCTACTCTCTCTCCCTCTTCCTTTCTGAAATTAATAAAGATATATATTTTTTTAAAAAGTCACTCAAATCATTGCCTATGTTCTATAAAGAACCCTGGTTAAGAGGGAGTGTAGTATGCAGAGAATATAAGACATAGTTAAAAAGTGTAGCTAGCCCTGGCCAGTGTGGCTGGGTTGGTTGGAGTGTCATCCATCTACTGAAGGGTGGGATTCCCAATCAGAACACATGCCCAGATTGCAGATTCCATCCTGGGTGAGGCGGGAGGCAGCCCATGGATACTTCTCTTTCACATCCATGTTTCTCTTTCTCTTTCTCTCTCTCAAAAAAAAAGGGGGGGGGGGGGACTGGTATAGCTCAGTGGTTGTGTTGACCCAGGAACCAAGAGGTTACCAGATCGATTCCTGGTCAGCATTTGATCCCCAGTAGGGGGTGTGCAGGAAGCAGCAGATCGATGATTCTCTCTCATGGGTGTTTCTATCTCTCCCTCTCTCTTCCTCTCTAAAATCAATAAAAACATTGTTTTAAAAGGCGGGGGGAGGATAGTCTTTACTTATTTATATTTACCTTCACACTTCAAAAAGTGCAATGAACAAAATTATATCCAGCAATGCTAAATGCAGCTTAGTATTCCTGGCTGGCTAAGACAGTTCCTACTACTAGACGTTGGTCATTCCCAGTACTCACAGATTCTTTGAATATCCATATGGACAGGTGCACGACACATTTTATAACTGATAACTTTATTTTTTTAAATTTTTATTTATTGATTTGAGAGAGAGGAAGGGGGAGAGGGAGATTTTGTTGTTCCACCCATCCATGTATTCATTCATTGGTTGATTCTTGTATGTGCCCTGACCTGGGATGGAACCAGAAACCCTAGCATAAAGGGAGACACTCTCCCCAACTGAGTACCCTGCCAGGGCCAGAACTGATCGCTTTAATACACAAGGTTCAGAATGGCCTTAGGGAGGCCAAGGAAAATTAAGGTCTTTCCGAACAGCCAGGGTATTTAACATTTCTCCAACCTCCTTATTGGGGCGTGGGTTCAGTATTAAAACAACACATTTCCTCCGGGGGAGAAAATGGGAGGAGTAAGTTTCGCTTGTCAAGTTTCGCTTTCCAGTTCTTGGAATTCTCTTATTTCAGGATCCGACAGGTGGGGAACCCACCAGGCCTAGACCCCGGGACACCCTGGGCAATGTAGTTTCCGGGCGTAGCGACTCTGTCCCCACGCGTCCTCACCAATAAGAACCAGCAGGAAGGCCCCAGGCTTGGCCCCCTCGGCCGGAGCCTAGAGGAATTTCCTAGCCCGGACTCTCTGGCTGCAAAGGCCTTAGTGACCCGCAAAACTACTTACTTCTTGCTCAGTTTTGACTCGCCGCCGTCCACGTTCACCCCAGGCTCCTGCACCGCAGCCATCTCTCTCAAGGCCCGAAGTGAAAGTAATGAGGCTGTACAGTGAACTCCCAATCGAGGTTGGAAGCCCCGCCTCTTCCGGAGAGAAGGGGCGGGCACTCCTTGCGCACTGCCGCCGCGCAGGCGCAGTGAGGTGCTTCGCAGCCGCGGCGTCCGGAGCGGTACCTCTGGTCCGTCAGTGGTGCTCCGTGCCTAGTTCTTCTCGTCCTCTGCGTCAGCTATGGCGGAGGCGATGGATGTGGGCAAAGACAACGGGCCCACTCACTCCTCGACTCTGTTCGTGAGGGAAGATGGCAGCTCCATATCCTTCTACGTGCGTCCCAGCCCGGCGAAACGCCGGCTCTCGACGCTCATCCTGCACGGCGGCGGCACCCAGAGCCGGGGGCAGGAGC